CTCAGCAGTTAAAGTATTTGCTGCTTTCCCAGAGGACCTGGGTTCAGTTCCCAGTACCCGTGGTGTGGTTTGTAACAATATTAGATTCCAGTTTCAGGGAACCCAGTGCCCCCTTCTGGTCTCTGAGGGCACTGCACACATGTACTACACTTTAAATGCATGCAGGCAAAACACACATAAAAATAAAAATAAAGTCTTTTAACAGACTAAACGCCTAATGTGGGCTGGGCAGTGGTGGAACATACCTTTAATTCCAGCACTCGGGAGGCAGAGGCAGGAGGATCTCTGTGAATCTGTTCTGGACAGCCAGGCAGGTCTACACAGAGACCCTGTCTTGAAAAACAAAACAAAACAACAAAACCTGATGCAAATACTCATATATAGATATATATGTATATCTATATATGAATATTTATATAGTGTATTTTAGCAGATATGAATTTCACAGGCACTGAGTTTCAGTAAGATACAGTCTCATGTCTCATGTAGCTCACATTTGTTGTATAGCTAAGGATGTCTTCCTGATTTCCTGGTTCCACCTCCCAAGTGTTAGGATTACAGGATTGTGCCACTGTTTCCTGGATGTGTTGCCTATGTTTTTTACACAAAAGTGATTTGCAGATGTCCTCCAGCACGATGTAGTTGGTAGGGTTTATTGTTGGTGTACTGAGTTTTAGTATGTAGCTCTGGTTAACCTAGTACTCAGCCAATGTTAAGGTGCTGGAGAGATGGCTCAGTGGTTAAGAGCACTGGCTGCCTTTTCAGAGGTCCTGAGTTCAGTCCTCGGTAACCACATGGTGACTCCCAGTCATTTATAGTGGGATCTGATGCCCTCTTCTGGCATGTGTGTTCAGCACTCATACATAAATAAATCTTTTTTTTTTAATTATTAGAAGGTGTATGGCAACATGTCCATTTGGCAAAGAGCAGCAGCAGGTTCCCCCTAGGGCCAAGAACTCCCCAGCCATATGCTTTTTATAAAAGTTAAAATATTATGAATGAATTCCCTCCTGAGCTTAAACACACTGCATTCTATTCTGACATAAGAGTACTATGACAGTCATTGCTAGGTTTCTACTGTTTCTTTTATTTTCTAACTTTTAAACTATTTTACATTTTATGTGAATGAGTATCTTTTTGCCTGTATGTTTCTATGTGCACAGGTGCATGCTGGGAGTCAATGGAGACTAAAGAGGGTGTTGAATCCCCGGAACTGTAATTACAGACAGCTATGTGTCACCATGTGGGTGCTAAGACTCGAATGCAGTTCCTTTGGAAAAGTAGCTAGTGCTTCTAACCAATGAACCATCTCTCCAGCCCTTCCATTGTTTCTTGATCAGAACTAAATGAATTATGGGTCAAGATGAGCTACTAATTGAAACTGGTTTTGGCTATGTGATGCAACCTGTGGCTCATGGACAAAGCAGCAGCTTCCTTTGAGTGAAGAAAATTTGTGTGTTTTTTAAATTGCACTTATTATTTATCTTTGTGTCTGTGTGTAAGTCTGTATTTACACACATGGCACAGAATGTGTGCAGATATCAGAGGACAACTAGGGGAGCTGGTTTCAGACTCCCATGTGTACATCCTGGAGAATGAAGGCTGGTCTTCAGTTTTGGTGGCAGGAGCACTTACCTGCTGAGCTATCTCACTGGCCCAAAGGAAATGTTTTTAGCCAATCAGACTATCACAATGTTCCCTCAGTGCTTTCCCCTCTGTCTGGGCCTCCCCTTGTCTCTTCTCGGTGTTCTCTACCTGTGTGTCCTGAAACCCTCTCCCTTAGCATTGCTATTTTCTTTTCTCTGTTGCTCTCTTTGCCTCCTAGAACTGCTAAGTTCTTAACATGAAAGTTGAAACAGTTGCACATTGGCTCTTCCCATGACCATTTTTTTTGTTATTATTGTTATTACTCTTTTATTTATTTGTTAGTTTTGTGGAACTTGAAGCTGGGGATCAAACCCAGGCCCTGTGCAAACCTTTTACCACTGAGCTATGTCCCCATCTCAATGATTTATACTCCTTGAGTGCCGGCCTACTCCCAAGTGTGCACGCCTTCAATCCCAGCACTCGGGAGGCAGAGGCAGACAGATCTCTGTGAGTTCAAGACCAGCCTGGTCTACAAGAGCTAGTTCCAGGACAGCCTTCAAAGCCACAGAGAAACCCTGCCTTGAAAAAAACAAAAATAAATAAACAAATAAAAATGAAATTAGAATAGTGTTAAAAATATTGATAAGCTTAATGTCACAGAACTGCCCACATTATTCTAATGAATATCAGTCAAGTCCCAAAGCATTTGTCTCCATTTCCCCTACTCTGTCTGAGATTGTGTCATTAGTAAGTTATTATCATTTAAATTAATTCATTTCATGAACAGTATTGAGAATGCATTGGATATAATTGTCTCTCAGTAGATAAAGCTATACAGTCTTGAGGTTTACCTACAGATACCAGCACCCAGAGGGTATTCTTGTCCTTTTGGATGTAAATGTTTTGTTTTGCTTTGTTTTTCAAGACAGGGTTTCTCTGTGGCTTTGGATGCTGTCCTGGAACTAGCTCTTTTAGACAAGGCTGGTCTCGAACTCACAGAGATCCGCCTGCCTCTGCCTTTGGAGTGCTGGAGTTAAAGGCGTGCACCACTGCTGCCTGGCTTGATGTAAATGTTACATAAATCATTGTTAAATTGTCATAGCGATAATGACAAGGAAGTCTATGCATAATTAGTATAAAATACTTGTTTCTAATAAAAAAGTGTCTTGACATAAGATAAATACCTAAAAATAAAATTGAATAGTGCAGGTAATGTATTAGGGAACCAGAGGGGCTCCTTCTGAAAGGTTGATGGGAAGGATGGGGGGGGGGTGAGTTACATCCACAGTGACCTGAATAGAAAGGAGTGACTGTGCAAAAGATGTGGGGAAATATTCTAGGCTGAAAGGTAATGGCTGTGATAGTTCTGAGGCAGAGGCCATATGATATTCACTAAAGCAACAGAAAAAAATTTATCCTAAGAATGAAAATATGAGAGCTAGCTGTATTGATACCCACCTGTAATCCTAGCACTTAAGACTCAGAGGCAGGAGAGTAACCAAAAGTTTCAGGCCAACCAGGGCTGTGTGGTGAGACTCTGTCTCCAAAATGAAAAAGAAAATGTCAGTTTGTAAGACAGGCTACAATATTCATTGGTGAAAAATACCTGGAAAAAGTCCAGACGGCCGGATGTGGTGGACTATGCCTATAATGCTTGGAAGGTAGAGGCAAGAAAAGGAAAAGTTCTAGTCCAGCCTTCATTACATGGTAAATTTGAAGTCATTCTAGGCTGCATGAGAGCCCTGTATTGAAACAGAAGAAAGAAAAGAAATGAAAGCAAAAAGTATGCGCAGTTTCTGACTTGAATTTGTTTACACGCAAGCTACTGTAGAGAAGCCATCCAGATGGGTGGTTGAAAGAGTGTTTGTTGCACGCCTTTATTCTAGCACTCGAGAGGCAGAGGCAGGCGGATCTCTGTGAGTTCGAGGCCAGCTGGTCTACAGAGCTAGTTCTGGGACATCCAAGGCTACACAAAGAAACCCTGCGGGGCGGGGGGCATATTTTCTGAAGTCAGGTTGTCTATGTTCGGGGGGGAGGGGGCATATTTTCTGAAGTCAGGTTGTCTATGTTCGAATCCCAGTTCTAACGTTTACGATCTGCTACCGTCTGAAGGCACTTCTCCAGGAAGTTTGCTGCAACAAGTGACTGAACAGTACAAGTATACTGTTTTATAGTCTCAAATGTCAGAAGTCCCGGATGGATGTCCCTGGGCTCAGCCACTGGAGCTCTGGAAAGAAGAGCTTCCTTCCTTTCTACAGGACTTGAGCTTACCTACATCCCTTGGCTGTGTTATGATAACACCCGAGGGGGACCTTGGCGGATGCCTTGGCAGGCGAGGTTGACCGAGGCAGGGGACAAACACACCAGGTAGACAGAGAGTGAAGGGAAGGAAAGAGAAAAGAGGTGAAGAGGCACAGAGAGAGGGCAGTAGAGAAGAGGAGACAGAAAAAGTCCTGTCTGCCCCAGGGAAGGGGGGGATTGGAAAGAGAGTATAAACTAGGCAGGGGTCATCTCCAGTCCCGGTGTGTCCCTTCGAAAGCCTGCGGTATAGCTCTGCACTTCCCAAGTGCTTCCCCCACCCTGCTTCTGCTTTTAAAGACACTTGTGATTATGCTGGCTTTGCTCAGATAATCTCCCATAATCTTCCTATTTTAAGGTCAGTTGTAAATTAGGTTGATTAGCAAGTAGCCTTTGTTCCAGCTGCAACCTCAGGTCCCCTTTGTCATGTAAACTAACCTGTTCTCAGGTCCCAGGTTATCCACAAATATTTTAGGGGGATTGTTTTTTTCCTAGATATCTCTATTTAAATTTAAAGTTGCTTGAGGCAGCTGGGGACAGGAGAAGGCTTGTGTGTGAACTCAGAGGGACTGCTAAAGATATGTGTCCATGCTTTCTAATATTCTCATTAGCATAAAACATAGTAAATGCTGTATTAAGAGTGATGTGGTGAAAGTCAGCTGAGTTTTAGTTATATCATGGAAGGGAACAGATTAAAATATTAGAGAGGATTTATTTCAGCTATTTCATTCCCAATCATTATAGGACCATCTATTGGTGTTTCAGAGAAGACCGCAGGACAGACAAATTGACAAATCTGCAGGGGCGGCCCAGGAGGAGATAGGGAAGAGAGAGGGTGAAAGCCATGCTTTTGCAATGAAGCTTGGGAAACAGCAGCATGGCAGAAGTGGCTGTAGTGGTAGGAGCATCAGAGAAAGTGAAAAAGCCCCGGGAAGCGTGCCCAGGCACTAGCCAGCATTGGAAAGAAAAGGACCAAACGAGAGACCTTGCCTTTCTGTGTGACTCAGAAAAAACTGCCGGCTCCAGGCCACAGGCATCTATCCCGATGTTTGTGACTCTGTTACATTTTTAGAGAAGCTATGAGTTTAATTTTTATTTTTCTGTCTTTATTGCAGACTTTTATACCTGTGGATGTTGCTGCTGACATGGAGACGATTGAAGAACAGTTTGCTAATCTGCATATTGTTAGGCGTTCCTCGGAACCAAAAGAGCCCACTTACCTGCTTGGCATAGACACATCAAAGACCGTCCAAGCGGAAAAAAGGAGCTTGGTTGCTGTTCTGTGTTCAAATGCATCCATAAGAATATATGATAAAGAGACACTAAATGTACTACGAGAATTTAGTGGCTCTCCCGGACTCCTTAATGGAGTCAGATTTGGGAATTCCTGTGACAATGTCTATTCTGCAAGTACGGATGGCACTGTCAAATGTTGGGATGCTCGGGTAGCTAGTGAAAAGCCTGTGCAGTTGTTCAAAGGTTACCCTTCCAATATTTTCATCAGTTTTGATGTCAACTGCAAAGATCATATCATTTGTGCTGGTACAGAAAAGGTTGATGATGATGCATTGTTGGTATTCTGGGATGCAAGGACCACATCTCAGGATCTGTCTACTAGAGACCCACTTGGTGCCTATTCAGAGACGCACAGTGATGACATTACTCAAGTACGTTTCCATCCCAGCAATCCCAACATGGTTGTCTCTGGTTCAACTGATGGCCTGGTAAATGTGTTTGATATCAGCGTGGATAATGAAGATGATGCATTGGTTGCCACCTGTAACTCCATTTCATCAGTGAGCTGTATTGGTTGGTCTGGAAGAGATTATAAACAGATTTACTGCATGACACACGATGAAGGATTTTGTTGGTGGGATCTTAATCATTTGGATACTGATGAACCAATCACATGTTTGAACATCCAGGATGTGAGAGAAGTAACTGATGGAAAGGAAGGTCACTTGGACTATCTGATTGGTGGCCTATATCATGAAAAGATGGACAGACTGTTTGTTATTGGAGGAACCAACACAGGAAGGATTCACTTAATGAGCTGCGCCCCATCAGGACTGACCCATGTGACCAGCCTTCAGGGGGGACATGCGGCCACTGTTCGTTCTTTCTGCTGGAACGTATCCGAGGACTCTTTGCTGACTGGAGGAGAGGATGCACAATTGTTGCTTTGGAAACCTGGAGCTATGCAGAAGACATTCACAAAGAAAGACGGCTTGAAAATGGCATCCTCTGTGCAGCAGCGAGTTCGAGTCCACAGCAGCGACTCTTACAAGAGAAGGAAACAGCAGTGATGTCATGCAGGGAATTTGCAAGCTCTTCCGGTTCCAAATCAATTTTACAGCAAATCTTTTTAAAGCTTACTTGTAAAAACAGCAATTAACAAACAGTCCCAGGCAAATATTGAGAATGATTTAACTTGGGTCCAGACATACTCTTTAATATTTTTAAAGCCTCCAGCTGAATATAAAAACCAGTGACTTGACAGGGAAATTACTAGCCTTGTTTTGAAACCATCTGTTGAGTTAGTAAATGTTGGGTTTGAAGAAATCTCTTCGAAAAGGCCTCTCCGATAGATAACTGGGGAGACAATGAAACGGCTGGTTTGGGCTGTGTGTTTTAAGATCAAACTTTCTATGTTTGAAATTATCTTCATTGTTTATGCAACATTGACTGTTTAGTAATTTGAGGGGCTTTTGCTTGCTCGTCACACCTCCTCTGTCACCTCAGAGCATTAAGGAAGCATTCTAGTGAGTCTAAATAGACTTTTATTTTTTTAGGAATGAAGTATAGTATTTTCCCAAAATGAGAAAAATATATTTAGTAATACTTGCATCTGTAGTTTAATACACTCTACGCTTGGGTACCTGACACCCAGGCACTCTGCTGATGAAAAAGAAATTACCTCGTTAGATTAGTTTTGAGACTTAGAGTAAGGTAGAGCAATGAAAATACAACAGCAGGCCTGTTCTCTTTCAAAATATTCTTTCAATAATATGATTAAATGTTCTTATGTCACCTATAACTTGAACCTGTGTTCACTGCCTCTGTGTGTGTGTGTGTGTGTCTTAAAAGTCACTCCTCCCACAGGTGGTCGTGGCGGTGCACACCTTTAATCCCAGCACTGGGGAGGCAGAGGCAGACCGATCTCTGTGAGTTCGAGGCCAGCCTGGTCGAGTGCTGGGACTAAAGGTGTGCGCCACCACCACCCGGCGAGAGGAGGGTTCTAAGTACCTACCCTGCAGCTTGATGAGTCTCTTCCAGAATTCTTCAGATAATCCCAGGAAGCAAGTGTCATGTCATTTAAGTGAAAACTAGAACCTGGAAAGCCAAGTTGATTTTCATTTTGGGGACAGGGTCTCACGTAGCCCATGCTAGCCTAGAGCTCAGTATTGTAGTAAAGGAGGGCCTTGAATTCTTGATCTTCTAGCCTTCACCTCTGGCATTGGGATTACAGGTATTCACCACCATCCCCAGTCTTGAGGGTTGCTGGGAATTGAATCTGGGGCTTTGAGCATGCTAAATAAACACTGAATCAACAGCTACAGCCTTAGCCCCAAAAGTGTTTATATATGTATATGTGTGTGTGTATGTATGTATGTATGTATGTATAGGGAACACACTGGGTGTCATGAGGCAGGGTCTCTCAATGAAGCTAGAGCTTACCAATTCAGATAAACTAGCTGGCTAGCAGTCTCCAGTACACCTATCTCCACCTCCCTGGTGCTAGGGTTACAGATGTGTGCTCCATACCCAGCTCTAGCCATAGAGCCATCTCCCTTCTTGATAAAGTCCAACTTACCCAATTTGTCTTATGCAGGCTATGAAAATTTTACTACTGGGCTACCTCCTGGTCGCCTTTTTTCTTAATAGTTTTTTTTTTTTTCTGAGACAGGGTTTCTCTGTATTTTTTTGGTGGCTGTCCTGGAACTCGCTCTGTAGACCAGGCTGGCCTTGAACTCACAGAGATCCACCTGCCTCTGCCTCGTGAGTGCTGGGATTAAAGGTGTGTGCCACCAACGCCCAGCCTTCTTAATAGTTTTGATTGTGGATATTTTGATGAGGAATATCTGATGATGGCACTTTGATATATTGTAAGATGACTCTGTCATCCTATATATCCCCAAATCACTTACATAGGATCTCCAAGAATAAATACTTACAACTAGTTCCCTAAAATAAAATATATCTGCTGTCTCAAAACCTGTAATATATCTTATACCATCTGTCCAATCACTTGTCGGCTAACCACAGCTTACTATGAGAATAAATTACATAGCTAGAAGAGATTTTGAATGTTCTTGCTGCAAAGAATGATAAATGTTTGAGGTGATGAATATGCAAATTGCTCTGGTTTGATCATTAAGCAATGTATACACATATGGAAATATCACACTGTCCCACATACATATGTATAATGGCATGCCAATTAAAAAAAGTTAGAGAGAGGGCCAGAAAGATGACTCTGGGTAAAAAGCACTTGTCATCCAGCATGGAGACCTGAGTCGGATCCCTGGAATCCACGTAATAGAAGTAGAGAGTCAACTACCCCAGATTGTCCTCTGATCTTTATACGTGTGTGCCCACACACTTACACACACAACTAAACAAATAAAGGTGATAAAGTTAGGGAGACTAGGAGATAGTTTAATGGGCAAAGTGGTTGCTATGGGAAAACGGGTATCTGAGCTTACCTTCACAGCACCTATGCAAAAGCTGGCTGTGTCAGTCTGTACCTGCTAGTCCAGCACTGCGGAGCCAGAGACAAGAGAATTCTTGGGGCTTGCTAGCCAGCCAAGCCAAATCTATGAGTTTAGGGTTTGGTGAGAGACCCTGCATATTAGTTACTTTTCTGTTTTCTGTCGTAAATACCATGACCTTCATGTGATAAAATACCTTGTAGAAAAAGGAATTTATTTGGGCTTATTGTCCCAGAAGGAGAGTTCATACTGGCTGAAGAAGCATGGCAACAGGTAGTCACAATAGGAAACTGAGAGATTACATCATCAGCCACAAACAGAGTAGAAAGAGTGAACTGGAAATGGGGCAAGGTTATAAACTCCCCAAATTCCCATCCCCATAATGTGTTTCCTTCAACAAAGCTGCACCTCCTAGAGGTTCTGTAATATCCACCAACTGGGGACCAAGAGTTCAAATACGTTACCTTATGGGAGACATTTCTCACTTAAACCACAACACCCTGTCTTAAAATACAAGGTGGAAAGCGGTGAGGGAGGCACCTGACCCCAGGCCTCCAGATACATGCACACAGATGTGCAGCCACATGTACACACGCATCACACATGTGCCAAGATAAGTTAGAACACCTGGGGTTGTGTTTAGAGTCAGAGAGATTGTGTAATTGTGCTTCCAGTGTGCCTGATGATGTATGGATGCAATGTACCATCAAGACCTGGAAGGTCACGGCCAAGAGTTCAAGACAGGTAGGTGGGGACGGGTAGCTGCACGTGTCTCCTGTTCCTATCTGAGTTCATTCCACTCCCCCACTGGGTTCTCAGTTTACATAAAAAAAAATGCTTTCTTATTGGTCCAGTAGCACTCCCATTGTGACCAGTGGGCTGCTACATAGAACTATACATAGCAGGTGCCCAGCAGAGATTTATTTCACCAAATCACGATTCAGCTAGTTGTGCTTTGCTCCCAGATTGTCATTTCAAGATCATGTTGACAGAGCCTTGTCTTCCATTTTGTTGCTGTTGCTTTGCATCTAAAGAGCAAGGAAGAAGAGGAAAGATGGGCTGTTTCTCATATGCAGCCAGTAATGCTTTGTATTTCCTGCCATCTCCAAAGTCAACACAGGATCCCTGAGCCATTGCTACTTACCCTGATCTCTTGCTTTTCTAGCTCTGTCCCATTCTTCTTGTATGACACCTTATAAATAAGCCAAAGGAAATCACTTAAAATTTCCTATGTACACCATGAAATAATGTGGCCGGGTTTTTTTGCATTAGTTTTGTTATCTAATGGGGAAAAACCTGGGCATGGTGGTGAAGAACACCTTTAATCCCAGCACTCAGGAGGCAGAGACAGGTAGTTCTCTACGGGTTAAGTCCAGCCTGGTCTGCATAGTGAGTTCCACAACAGTCAGGGCTACATAGAGACCCTGTCTCAAAAAAAAAAAAAAAAAAAAAAAAGGACAGTGGGGCTGGGGCCGGAGAGTTGACAAGTCGGTACACTAATCTTCTAGAAGACCCAGCATCCACATCAAGCTGCTTACAAATGCTCTAACTCCAGCTCCAAGAGATCTGACACCCTCTTCTGGAGTCTAAGGACACCTACATGCACATACCCATACACAAACACACATATACACAATATTTTTTTAAAAAGCTTTAAAAGCTAGATATAAGAGTATGAGACATTGCACTTTGGAAGCGGAGGCAGTAGGATCAGGAGTTCAAGGCCACTCATTTTATATCAAGTTTGAGGAAAACCTGGGCTACATATGATCCTGTCTCAAAAATCTAGAAAGAAAAGAGTATGCAGCATAAATAGCAATTGATTCCCATTGTCTGTTCTCCCCTCCCACAGTTAAAGAACTCACAGCTCTCCACTGGAGATGGCATGCCTAGAAACAACAGTGTATTAGAGGACACGTAACTGGTTTGTGGTTATAGGACTGATGGCATGAATGTGGAGTTTTCTAAGAACCTACAAAAAAACTACATGATTGTTGAGCATCTTTGGTTGTATCTTGTATTATCTGGAGTGTGGAGAGAGATACAGAACCAATAGAATGGATGGCTAGATGGCTGATAGATAGCTAGGTGGGCTCATAAACAGATGGGAATTGACTCATTACTATGGAGTCTGAGAAGCCCGACGGTGTGCCCCCTGCAAGTGAGAGGAAATGAAAGACAGTAGTGTAGAGTGAAAATTTCCCGCCAGCCTGGTTCCATAGCTGCATCAGTCCCAAATGAACACACAGGAGACTATTAATTATGAAGCTGTTGGCCATTTGCTTGGTTTCTTACTGGCTATCTCTGACTTAAGTATTTACCCCCATAATTGTTAATCTAAGTATTTCTCTTACTGGAGAAAGGGTCAGGATCTTTTACTCCTCTGGAGGTTATAGTCTGACTGCCTCTGCCTCTCTTTCCCAGAATCCTCCTTGACTCCTAGTCCCACCTATCTTGCTTCCTTATTGGCCAACAGTGCTTTATTGACATATACACAGGACTTCCCCATCACAGTAGTATGGCTTTCTTTAGATATGAAATCTGAGGGGCGGGTAACAAAGATCTAACTCTTAGTCTGAAGACAAAGCCTAAGAAACTGGCACAGTGGTGGCATTGGTTTAAATCCAAGGGCACAGAGGCCAGGGAACATGGAGTTCTAATGCCAAATGACAGGAAAAATGGTACCCCAGTTCTGAGATGGGGGAGAGGGAGAAGAAGAGGGAGAAAGAAGACCAGGCGTTGGTGGCACACGCCTTTAATCCCAGCACTCAGGAGGCAGAGGCAGGCAGATCTCTGTGAGTTCTGAGACCAGCCTGGTCTACAGAGTAAGTTCCAGGACAGGACAGGCTCCAAAACAATACAGAGCAACCCTATCTCGAAAAACAAATAAGAAAGAAAGATAGAAAGAAAAAAGAAAGGAAGGAAGAAAGAAAGAAAAAGGAAGAGGGAGTGGGAGGGAGGGAGAGAGAGAGATAATGAAAATATAATAATTTCCCTTTTCTCTGTCATTTTGTTTGTTCTGTCCAAGTCCTCAGTGAATGGGATGGTGGCTGCTCATTTTGGATAAGGGCAGATTTTCTGTACCCATTCCATTGGTTCAGCTGTCAATCTTTGCTGTAAACACCCTTGGAAACATATCAAGAAGTACTGTTTTCACTAGGTGTCTGTATAACCCTCAATCCTGTCACACAGGCACCTAAATGAACCAGCACATTTGACAAACTCCTATTTCTGATTCAAGACCCAGAGCAATTGTTTCTTCCTCTATGAACAGTTTTTCATCCCTACCCAGGAATTTAGTTCCTCTTTTGTTTTATCCTAG